CTGCGACTTTATCCGCTGCTTTACGAAGGCAGCGGATCGCCTGTCACTGCCTGTGAGTCCCTACCAACTGCGCATCGACCGCAGCCGCACCTGCGCAGCTTGGTGGAAGTCCAAAAGCGGGGACGGTCGATGGAAAAGCCACAAGTCCGTGGCCAGCTACGAGAAGTCGGCGCGGTTGGCCGCCACCTTCGGGTCGCTGCCGCTCAGGGTCCAGCAGTTTTGTCTCAGCGCAGAGAAACATCTCGGGGATGTGATGTCTGGCAGCTGCCCAAAGTTCGAGTGAGGAAGCGGCACCCTCCAGGATGCTACTGCCTCGACCTTTTCTCTGGAGTTGGAGGTGTCGCTCGTCAGTGTCGTGCCTCGGGGTACGTCTGTAAGAGTGGGACATTTCTTGGGGCAAACAGTTCGGTCTCACTAATGTAGCGGTGCGGTCGCGCATTAAACGTGACATTGCGCAGGGCAAGGTCCTTGCAGCCATGTTGGCCCCTCCTTGCTCCAGCTTTTCAAGTGCTCGTGATCGCACCAGAGTAATCCGGACAGCCAGGTTTCCATGGGGCTTGCCTTCTCGTTTTCTTTCAGAGGCGGAGTCTGCTTCTATCACTGTGGGCAACAAGTGTTTTCGAGCTGCTGTTGACCTCATTCAGTGTTTGGACAAGCACAGAGTCCCCTGGATCCTGGAGAATCCTAGCACGTCAAAGTGTTGGTGGCTGCCTCCTTTGAAAACGCTGCTTGCAGCCCCGCATACTCATCTTCGAACTGTTGATTTCTGTCAGTATGGTACATCGTGGCGAAAGCGCACTTGTTTGCTGCAGGTAACCTGGACTTTGACGACACGACACGTCTTGCTCGGCTGTGCACAGGCCATGGCATTTGCTCGCGTACCCATCAACCGCACTTGCAATTGACAGGTTGCTGTCATGGCCGAGCATGACTCTGCTTGCACAGCCTTATCCTCCCCAGCTGAACAAAGCCCTTGCCTATTGCCTGACGCAGCCCACCCACTATCTTTACTCCAAGCCCTTCAGGCAACATTCTGCCGACATTCTGACTTTGGAATGGTTTGGGGGACTCAGTGGCCAGAGTGGCCAACGGCTTCTTCGAGTTGCTCATACGGGCAAGGCTTTTCTTTACGGCCGAGATGGCCGGGTTCACCAGCTACAACCGTGCGGTGCTACTTCGAGAAATGAGTTCAGCTGGATTGCACGTAGTGATAAATCATTTGGAAGTTTTTGAGCATTACAGTGCTTCGTGGATTGAATCTCACAAAACACTGGAACGCTTAAACAAATTCACTTAAAACTCACGGAAGCAGGGTAGCCATGAGCGACTGTTGGAATTCGTCATTTGTACTTAGGTGCTTGGTACTTGAGCTTTATGCAGTCAATTCCTTCAGTCCTTCCGATTTCATTCTTACTCAGCTTGTCCATCACGCATTCATCGTCGTACTTCCGCAGAGGAGGGCGCTCTTGAGAACCCGTTACCTTACGTCCCCTACGCCGATAGGAGCTTGATCCCTCCTTTGACTGGTCGGCTCACTCAAGTGCCATTCAGAGGCCGAAAGGGCCGTACGACGCGTGAAAAGTTTATGAGTTTATGGATAACCCTGCCCGGGGTTACCCGCCCGTACAGTAGACCGGTACCCCTTCCCCTTTGCAGTGACCCTGTCGTAGTGCCTGTAATCGCGCGATCCTATCACTGGGCAGTCTCGATGATGGGATCACGAGTGGGAAGACTCTGTCCACCACTTTAGAAGGGTCTACTGCTAGGACTGTGTTTAGGAGTGTTCTTCCCATGGTTTGTTCTTCTGGTTTCACATTGCCGTCTCAAGACCACCTGCCTCGCGTGGATTGTGGAATGTGAGCGCCGAAACCTCACTAAACACTGTATAATGTACTGTAGTGCTCAACCAATTCCAAAAATGCTATGACTGTTGTGAGGTCTGGCCTGATGAGACTGCGAGGCGATCTAAACAAAGTTGTCGCTTGGACTTCTCTGCAGGCATTGCGATGATGCCCAACCAATGGGCTTTTGTTGCATGTGATCCATGAGCTTCACAGCGCGAGACGAAGGACATAGTGATCACACAGATGGCTCTTGAGAACTTACACAAGAAGCAAGTTGCGTTGATGCGGCTTGGCTCAGTTGACAGTGCACACAGTCGATAGAGCCAGCGCGTGTTCTCGGAAGCATGCTGAGGATTCGTTGGTTGGTTACTTTTCAGTGGAGCTCGCTTTTGTGTGGAAAGTCTGCGGTGCTAAGGTCACAGATGTCTGCCGCACCCCGAGTATTCATGGGGACACATGCATCCTAGGCCTAGAGGCTTGCTTGGGGTGTCAACCTGGAATACTTGTTTACGCCAGTTTCGTTGGTGCCTGCTCAACAAGTGAGGGCGGTCCTAAAGCCAAGGAATTGCAGGACGGTCATTCTCGAGTGTGGCAGGTGACTTGGCTTTAGAGTCGCTTGAGAGCATCACTCGTATTGAACTCTGAGAGTGCTCCTTACATTCCTAACGTTTTGTCAGTGGCTAGGTGGTCGAGAAGGCCTCGGAAAAGGTGGCCGTTGGGACCCGGCTTTCGGAACATATTGCAAAAGGTGTGAGAAGGCTGTCAGGCGAGCTGGAGATACAAGAAAGTGTCACCTTAAAGTAATTCGGGAATCTGGGCGCCGGGAGTCTTCGGCACGATGGCGGGAAGCTTCGAGTCGTGGCCCGAGCCGAAAGCGTTCTCGTACTTCCTAGCACTCTTGATCTGGCTCTGTCGATACATCCGTCGATGTTGAAATTTAATGTTTGCAGAAGTTTTGCTGCAGATTTCGTTTTCGATGAATCAGGTGCTTCACTGCAAAGCAGTTCTGCTTGAAGCACGTTTGGTAACAGACTAGGCTTCGTGCATGAGTATCCTCTTTGTGACTGCGTCGCATCCAGAGAAGACTGTCGCGGCCCTGTCACCTTTCTTGTCCGGCCAAGAGATCACAGTCTGCAAGTGCACAGGACTGCTCCATTGCTTTGATTCATGTAGCTGGATGGGAATAGGCCGTCGTCGAGTCTTGCGGGCCCTCCTGCCAGACCTGCAAAGCAGGGCGCAGAAGCTAACCCCAATGCATGTACTTCGGATCTGACCTGGCCTAATTTCTAGAACATACCGAGGCTTGCAATGCTATGTAGGCACTTGTGAGCAGGTTGCGCGTGCAAAAGAAAAGCCGGTCCAGATCACACTGTAGAGGCTGGTGCGGCTAGTGGGTTCTGTGCTGACATGGCCCCGATTCCTCGTTCATTCGTAGCCCCACTTTCTAGATGGGGCTATAACTGCTTGTGACTTAAAAGACAAACGATATGTGGCTTTCATTCTTTTCCGTTTACTTTTCGGACAAACAGCCGGGTGACCGTTTGGTGCGACCTCTGCTGCTACTGACCTGACATGCACCCTGTCAGCAGGGTAGTGTTGGGATTGTAGTTTGTAGCCGTGTAGTGTGCTGGTTCTTGTGCCAGTGCTAGTTCTAGTGGTTATGCTCCTGGTACTGGTAGCGGCAGCGGTAGGGGCCGGTAGGGGTATAGTGGTAGTCGCCCTTATTCTCTTACATTCGCATGACCCACCTTTTCCTGAAAGTCCAGTCGCGAGTCTTGTTTATAACAGCTGGGAAAAGTTCAGCGTTCTTCAGCTTTTTGATAGCTTTGTTCCTTAGCCTCAAAGTAGAGGGCAAGCCAAAACCAACCCTGCTGTTGCCAACCCCAGTAAACGAAATCAGTGTGAGACCCGAAAAGAAGTAATCGCTCGCAGCCGTTCTTTTATCACAGGATTTTGTGCTTTGTGCCTTTAGCATGTTGTTAGGAGAAATTGGTTTTGCATGCCTTCTCAGCGGGATTCCACTTTGAGGTGCGGGTAATCGCTTCTGGGTGTCGAGCACTTGCGGTAGTCAGTGGATTTTGATCGGTAGGAGCAAGTGACTAGCTAGACGACGAGGGCCTGATACTGATTCCGTCAGTGTGCATCTTGCTGGGCCAAATGTGTCTTGGCGACTGTGTGGGTGCTCTCCGTGCGGCAGTGCGCGTCAGGGCGCTACTGAAAGGCTTCCTTCTGTCCCTGCGAGAAGGGCGCGCTGCCCATGGTGCAAGAAAATCGGATCATGGGAGAGAGGTCGCCAAGCAGCCGTACGCAGTGCAAAGAAGGACAAATCAACGGCAGCTTACGCTGACTTCGAGAGCCTAGCAGAAAGCTCGCTCTGCTCAGCACATGCGCAGAGACCTGGCGTGAGAGCAATAGACATACGGGTGCGTGGTGCGGGGCTTCCACGGCTACCAGGATTTCGGAGCAGGCCAGAAGTCAAAGTGCAAGCCGTATGTTCGACTGGAGCACAAGGCACGGTGAAGTCCCCTCAGTCGATGGCAGCTGAACTGCGGTGACGATTGCACAGTCACGGGATGCAGCAGAAGCAGACTTGTTGAAGTAATTGACCGGTCTTCAAGCCGACATGGGTATGATCGTTTACCTGCGTCTGCAGAGCGGGTGGTTTTGCCACTTGGTCCGAGGATGTTGATACCTTGGACTTGTCTGCGTTCTGGCTGCATATTTTGCAGACCTGAGGGGCACATACATAGAATCGAAGGTCGCGCTGGACAGGTCGAATCTATGGCCAGTCTGTGGCTGGAGGCTTGCGCAGCGAGCCAGACGGCGATCAAAGTGGCTTTTGTTCATCAGGTGCCGTGGGCCCATGAGTGGCTCCATACATAGGGCCGGCATGGGCGCACAAGATGCTGCTCAACTCCACTTTGTCTAGAAAAGCAAGTGTGACATGCCTCGTGGGGGGCATGGGGCAATAAATCCACAAAGACATGCCAGCGCTCACGGCCGTTGGTCCGGACCCAACAGTTGGTGGTCGAAGAGGTACCATGAAAGAAGGACAAATGTATATAGAATCGGCCTTAGTCCCTGTAAAGCTATGTTTCGATCCATAGCCAGCTCAGCCAAGTGTATCCATGCTTCCTGTGGCAATGGGCCAGCAGTATGAGGGTTCTCTCGCCGGCGGCCTTTGGCAGCGCCGAGGAGAAGTTGGAGGATGTCTACGACTGCCCCTTGGCCTGGCCTTGGCCACATGCGGCCATGGTTGCCTCACTCTTGTCGACTCAGGTAGCGTGGCAGTCCGCCAGCTCGGCAAGACCTCGCAATGGGTGAGGTCCCTGGCCATCCTGCAAGGCATGACGGCGGCGACGTCAGCAGACGTTCCCGTCCTCCATGGCCTCGATTACTTAAGCAGCGCCGCCTCGCTTGCGGTACCCTTGCAGGCATGCAGCCGCAGCGCTTGTGTCCAAACGATGTGGTGAAACCGGGCCGCAGAAATTCCTGTGCCCTGCTTAATCAGCGGAAGCTGTTGTGGATTTGAGGTACAACTCAGGCATAACAGCCTGCGGCGCCCAGAGGTGGCACTTGGTTCTGAACATCCTGCAAACAGGCCGCGCGATTGAACGTTTCTAACATGCTTCCGTCTGCCTCTTTGCAGATAAAACTGCTGATAGAAGTCGCAAGGTCAGCACATGCAGATATTTGGGTGCCGAAACCTTCGAATTGCTCGGAATTCCGCTATGTCTGCATGCACGCGTGCGGCCAGGCCGGCTCAGTATCCCGGATCCCACATTATGCAAATCAACAGCCTCGCATTTTTTCAATCCGTTTCGCGTTCGCAGGTGGCGAGAGACCTTGACCTGCCTGAAAGACTTGCAAACTGCAGGGCTGCGGCCAGACAGCTGGAGTGCAGATGGGCTTCAGGGGCTCAGGTGAATGCTGAGTGGCTGAGAGAAGAACAGGAGCTATGTGGCCGTTTTGGGCACTGTGCCTGCTGGCAGTGGGTCCTGGCCGTTGGTGATGAGGCATTTGGAAGTAATGCATCTCTCGGCGGCAGCACAAGACTACAAGATTGCACGGGTAGCAGGAGCATAACTAAGCAAATCGGTTTCCATGTCGGGTTCTTGGGCAGATGCCAGATGCAGGAGTTGAATGCAGCTTGCACATTGGCACCTGAGGCAGCTTTACACCCCTCTTGAGTTGATGACGCTTACTGCAGCGATCAGTGCTTGTGGTGAGTGGCAGAAGGCGCTGCGTGGGCACTGCAGTTTAAAGAAGTGCGCTGCAATCCAGTGGGCAGGCATTGGCTCTGTTCCAGACGATGATTGACTTGAGCATCCGCGTGCCTGAGATGAGTTCGTTTGGTTTTGAAAGAGGCGACTCTGCAGGAAGCGGGTGGTTGCAGCATGTGGCGTCGAAGGCCACGCTCGTCACGGCCACCGCGGTTATCGCAGCCTGCGCCCGTTCGCATTGGCAGAAGGCAGACCCGATCAGCCACCTCGGTTAGCCCGAAGTTGACTCGTTTCGCACCCGTCCCAGGCGTTGAGCAGCTTCGTGGGGTTGCCTCAGCGAAGCCTGACAGCCAACGAGGTCAATTCATAAACGGGTTCTTGGAAGACGCACAGCTAGGACCCAACGCAACCCCCAGCAGGGGACGGATGTTGGCCTCCCTTGAGGTGACTCGTGCATCGGCCATCCGCGCCTGTGATGAGGGTCAACAGTGGCAGGCTGCTTTGCAGATCTTTCGTGCGCCTTGGACATACACGAAAGTCGCCTTTCAAACAACTTGGCGGGCCTTCCACCGCCTGCGAGGTCAAGGTTGCCAACGTGGCTGCTCGTCAGAGAGATTGTGGGGTTTGCCGCTGCAAACCAATGCATGAAGGGTTCCCGTGTGCCGCGCTTTGAGGTCCTGCTCAATGAGGCAATCTCTTGCGGACAGTCTTCTGGCAACTGGTGGCAGGCTCTCAACCTTTTGTGTGGCTGGCGACGGCAAGGACGCAAGGATGGATCCCTTGACCAGACTTTTGTTCATACTTGCGTCTTATGCTATCTTTGCACGCGGGTATGCGAACGGAGGAATGTGTTTTCACTCCTAGTCGGACAGTGAAGGCTGTCTGCAGGAGAGCATCACAGTCACACGGCAAACGTGGACGAAATCACTCTTGGTGCTGCCTCCTCAAACTGTGAGAAACTTGGCTTGACACGGCTGACAGACAAGGGCCATAAGGGGGCGGTGTTAATTGATGGGAATCAGATTCATGATCAATGATCTGCTCTTTTCTGATGCCGAAGGGCTCGAATAAAGGCAGACATGTACCGCGTTCAGTCGCAATGGGCCAACTGTTGCACCCAGACGGCCTACGTCACGAGTCTGGCCACCTGGGCTGATGCTGCGAAGGATTATTACTTCAACAGCAGCACAGAAGAAGCTGCGCAGGGAGACAAGGCGGCAGACCACCCCTTTCAGCTTGGAGCTGCTCCGTGGGTCATTCGTAGTCACAGTTTCGTGTTTCACGAACAGCGGAGGTATCACAGCTGTACGGACTACAGAAGTCACCTCGTGTATTCCACTGCCGTCACTCGGCTTGGGAAGACGTCCTTGGACCTGGAGCACAACATCTACCATGAAAGGAGCGGCGACGGCCCTAAGCTGCTTGGCCAAATCGCCAGCTCCATCATCGTCTTCTCGAATGATAGTGGGCGACCTGCTGCTCATGGGATGGAGGTCCACGCAAGCAGTTGCAACCAACGCGCCGTACATGTTTCAAAAGACTTGGGTAGTGAGCCCGATCACAGTCCTTTCCGGCACCTGTGCAAGCCACGGTTCTCCGACATCGATGGACATGGCCATGTCAACAATGCGAACTTGATCGGCTACCTCCAAGATGCCAGGCACGCAGCGAGGGCCCCAGAGCGGCTGGAGGACATCTTCTCTCTTTACATCGAGTTTTTGAGCATGGCCAACTTGGATTCCACCCTCGAGATCTCCGTCTGGTCGGTGCCCTCCCCGTCGGCGGTGTTCTTCCACATGCGCGACCAGGATGGTCGAAGCATCGTCCGTGCACGGATGGACACCGCTTTGCCAGAAGTGTCCATCGAGAAGACTTTGAGCGCAAAGCATCGGCTGAAGCCCTCCTCTGCAAGCGCAAATCTGCGGGGTGAAACTTTCGGAAGTTTGGAGACTTCGCTGAGAGCTGTGGTGCAGAAGAGGCGTGACAAAGGCTTGCTGCGGCAGCTTTCGAAGCGCTCAGGCGGCCAAGTGGATTTTTGTTCGAACGACTACTTGGGCTTCGCCATGTCGACGGAACTGGCGAGGGAAGTTGAGCAGGAGTTGCTCGCTCTGAAAGACCAGGGAGAAGCCCCACTCGGATCCACCGGCAGCCGCCTGCTCTCCGGGAATTCCGCTTACTGCGAAGCATTGGAGGAAGAGCTGGCAAATTTCCACGGAGCAGAGGCTGCCTTGATCTTTAACTCTGGCTTCGACTTGAACCTCGGCTTCTTTGCCTCTGTTCCCCAGCCGGGAGACTTCGTCGTATACGATGAGCTGATCCACCAGTCGGTGCGAGAGGGCCTCAAACTCAGTCGTGGCAAATCCATCCAGTTTCGCCACAACGACGTCACCGCACTAAGGGAAGCTGTGGCTGGTGTTTTGGAAGGGACCCGGCCCGACGGCACGAGACCTAACATCATCATTGCGGTTGAGTCCGTGTACTCCATGGATGGACACTGCGCGCCATTGGAGGATTTCTGCGACGTTGCAGAGTCGGTTGGGGCCTCAATCGTAGTTGACGAAGCTCACGGCACCGGTGTCTATGGCGAAGAGGGGCGGGGCTTGGTGTCGGAACTCGGTCTTGCAAGCCGCATCTTCTGCCGGGTGCACACCTTTGGCAAGGCTCTTGGTGTTCATGGGGCTGCTGTTGTTGGCCCCCGGGTGCTGCGTGAGTACCTCCTGAACTATGCATGGCCACTGGTGTATTCCACATCCTTGCCACTGCATTCGCTCGCGGCCATTCGGTGTGCATATGCCTTCATGCGTCGAGAAGCCTCGAAGCGCCAAGAACATGTGCGGAGGCTCATACAGATCTTCCAGAAAAGACTTGCTGATCTGCCACCGGAGCGTGTCTTGCAGAGCGACTCCCCCATTCAGGGGCTCATCGTTCCAGGCAACGCAGCGTGCGTTGCCGTTGCTAGACGTCTCAGAGACCGGTTTGATGTTCTGCCCATCCGCTCGCCCACAGTTCCAGCTGGGACGGAGCGCCTGCGAATCATCTTGCATGCGCACAACACTGAAGACCAAGTCCATGCCCTGATGAACGCATTGGAAGAGTGTCTTCAACCCTCGGCGGTGCCGGAACCAGCACCCGCTCCCCGACTCTGAGCAAGGGCGGACGCAGAACGTTTTTGCCGAAAGCCAGTGCCTGTGCACTGGCTGGAACTCTTGAGAGCCGGGGCAAATTCGCCCCCGGTGTAGCAGCGGTATACTTCCACAGGAAGCGTGGATAGAGTGCAGGGACAAAGCGTGGCAGCAGTATGTAGGCAAATGCAGGCTATTGAATGCTTGCATGCATTGGCATGTAGGTCTTGTTCTGTTAACAGAAAGAAAGCAACCAGTGTTTCTGCCTGAGAAAGCGGCTTTTGCTTTGGCATGTCAGGAGAGCTGGTGAATGGCAGGTGGCTTTGACACTCAGTGGCTGGATGCAGGACACGCAAGGCGTTTGCGAGGATGGCCCCCAGACTCTTATTACTTATCGTTGTGTCTTTGTGGCTTGACCTGGGTGGATATGGGCTGCACATGGCTGCACGTGAAACACCAATACACCAAGGTCCGGCATGCAACATGCTAATCAGTGGATGCGGTCGCGGTGCAGTTTGGAATCGCGCTCTCCAGCTCATGAGCTTGATGCCTGCAAGGAGGTTGACTCCAACCGACATCAGCCGTGCAACTAGTATCAGTATCCCTGCTGAACCGGAAGAAGCGATGATTCATGTTGTTTGATTCGTCTTGGTGCTTGTAAGTGCCGGACAGTTTCACGGAATTCCCGCACTTCAGGTGCTTGTGGTCGCTGCAAGGAGTGGCAGTCGGCACTGTGGCTGCTGCGAGCCCCGAGGAGACGTGGACCTTTTGCCGTGCAGTACCGTGCAGTACCTGCTGCTTCGGAGAGGCCGAGGCGTCTGTCTGACGACGCCTGCGGTGCCTCGATCAACGCCTGCGAGATCGTCCGATACTGGAGCGGAGCTCTCGAGCTGCTGCAAAGGATGCGATTGCACCGGCCTTGGGCCTTGGGTCACATGGCAAAGGCAGGGCCACTCCTTCGAAGCTTCGAGGTTCAATTTGGAGCCCGACGTGGTGAAGCGGTCATCGGCATTGAGTGCCTGCCAGGGGAATTGGCTTGCGGCCCTTGCTGCTTGGCTAATGACGCTTCCCCTAGTCCCCATGCGGCTGCAGCTGGACAGGCACTCCTGGAGCAGATGATCCTCAGGGCTGAACTCGGCATCATTACCTGTGCTGCTGTTCTGACTGCTTGCTCCGTTGCTCGGCAGTGGCTCCAGTGCCTCCAGGCAGGGATCGTCCAAGTGGCTAGGGTACGTGCGATGGGGGCGAATAGCGTTAGCGCTTCATTTGCCCTCCCCCTCCCTGCAGGTCCTGCAACAGATGCGCCACTCGACAGACAGGGTATGTGCAGTGCCGTGCGCCACACGATGAGTTTTGTCTTATGCATGCTTGGCACTGGCGCTTGACAACTGCTTCATGTCATTCACGGTGCAGGAGATCTCCGCATGGCGATCGACTTCGTTGCATGCTGCGACGCTGCCCAGGCGTGTGATGGATCCGGCCTAGGCCAAGCAGCGGTGCCACAGCTGTTGCAGGAGGCAGCGTGCCGGCACGTTGAGATTGACATTACACAGCCAAGTGCTGCAGCGCATGGCTAGAGATCTGACCCAGGTGCGAAGCTCCCTCCTGCTGAGCTATGCTGCACGCAGCTGCGGAAGTCGAGGGGCATTCCGGGTTCTACAGCCTGCCTGACTTCGTGTGCTGAGCAAAGGGGGGGGAGCAGAGGGCAATGCTGGCCCCAAGTCATTAGCATGGCAAATCATGGCCAAGCCAGGCCCACCTTTTATCACCTTTTGGGGTCCACCCATTTTGCCGCCTTGGACGCTTCCGGCTCGTCCACCCAGTGTAAGAGAATGTGAGCTGCATGTCCCAAATCGCAGAAACGACATTCCGCTGAGAACAGTTGCTGTAATAAGACAAGAACTGAGAGATTTTCCCAAATGCAGCGACGCTTGCAGCGGCTTCTTGCTGCGCCGCACGTGCGCCAAGCTTAGCACTTCTCAAAATGCGCCCGTGATGGACTGTACTCAAAACTCAAGTCCGTGCAAGGAGACATCGCTTCCGAGGCAACCGATTCCAGGTTCTGGTGCCGCACCAAACGAACCGCAAGACGGATCACGACCAGCATATCCCGCCCTGGAGGTCTCCATAGCAACGATCGTTCAGGAGGCCGACAATGTCCTTCCCTGCTATGTCGTGGTGCAGAATCAAATCCGCCCCCAAGTGGAACAAGCGACGGGACGTTGCGCCGCTCGTCTCATCGCTTGGACGCCCTGCTATTGGAGCAATCCGCAGTCACAACACTTTACACCCAAATCCGAAGGAAGCCACCTCCAGCTTCACCCACACGCTGAAGCCGCTTGGAGATGTCACATGCTTGTGAGTGGACTGGGTCAGACGGGTGCTTTCTCAGGTGGACTTGGCAGGACAAAGAGTACTCCTGCGAGGGTAAACATCGAAGTAAACGTGGTGCCAAGAACGAAGCTGCGCGGCAAGTCCTTAGATTCCTCATTGATGAGGAGGCCTGGGGAAACATCAATTGCGCGCAGGGCAGAACAGCACAAGGAATAAGCCTTCTGACGCTGCGGAGCTCCCATGACGATACATGTTTGCTACGCTTTCAGGCATCAACTCTAGATCCGCGACAGAACGGAGCCGTTGCGCAATGGGCCACTCTTTTCGCAGAGTCAGTTGATTCTTTCCGCGAGAGACCGAACTTGGATGCAAGTTAGGGTTCGGATTTCGCTCGGTACCACAGTACAGCTGGGCGAGAGTCGCCAAAATAAGCTCCACCAGAACAGATTGAGAGATCAATTTGAGGCGATTGGGTCTTTGAGTGAAGACTTGGATGCCACCTTGGAATGCAAAGAGGTGGCTGTTGCCGAGACGGCATAGGAAGGATGCTTTGTGTGTGCAGTTGCCCTGCGTGCTCGTCAGGACGATGAAACAGGTGGCTCGCGGCAGCAAAGCCATACTTGCACCTGGACCTGTCCCCAGATCGAGGTGGCACGTAGAGCGGCAGGTAAGGCAGAGGGCGGTTGAAGTCGAAAGCGGACAGGTGTAAAGAGGCACTCTGCCACGCAAACGTGGTCACCGCCACCACTTGTCTCCCTTTCTGCTTCCGCAGCAACTTGGCCAGGGTGAAGTCGTTGCCACTGGCTCGGCGCGAGCGGCCACAGAGTCGCGGAGGAACGCTTTCGCTGCCCTCTACCAAAGCCTGCCAAGCGCTTTGGAGGACACAGCAGAGGAAGAGAAGGTTTGCAGTGATCCTGACTCCAAAAGTGTGCAACCCAGGAGATCTATCTGCAGGTCAAAGCCAAGCCTGCTGCAAGCAATGAGGAGGTTCTGCGGGTGAGATAGATGTATGTCTAGATCGAACAGATGCATGCCGGTCGCTGATTCTTCGTGCAGGTCAGGCCTGCCAACAAAGCTCGACATGGGGAGATCAACACTATGCACAACACAGCTACCCAGAAGCTTCAAATCAAGGCCTGCATGTTGCAGATGTTCTGCTGGATGAAGTGGCTCTTTGCGAAGGCTGCTTGGGATTTCCACGTCCACACACCCGGACAAGTTGTGCCGGGCTTAGAGCTGTCGTTTCGCTTGTCGAGATCTTTCGAGCTGCAGTAGCCGGGATGACGGGGTGGGGTTGCGAGCAGCCGTGCGACCCACCAGGCTTGCATTGCTGCGCTTCAAAAGATCAAAAAGTAAAACCTATGGCAGGCCACTGTGGGTTTGCGAAACAGGGCCGGCTCCGCAGCCCGGGCTTTGCAGAACCATGGCCAACCAAAACCCACACTGCCAAACTGTACTAGGTGCCGAGCCAGGGAAAGGCATCAACCATCGACGAGAGCCGCAATTCGGATGGCACACCGAACTTGCCAGTTCCTTGCACATCATTTTTGGCTGAATTCCAACCACAAAGAGCTATGGCTGCTGCACAGCTTCTATTGCTAGGTGCACCTGCTTCTGCGCAAGCCAACCCCCTTGAACACCCACCCGTCAACCACATGCAGGACCCTCGAGACAGGCCCTAAATATGGGCTCAGATCAGCTTCTTGAACCTTTAAGTCTCTGTGCTGTCAGCTGTACTTGCTTTGCTGCGCACGGATGCAGGCCTTGCCAGCTAGTGTTTGCCAGGGTGGGCTGCTCGAGGTTGGGATTGGGGTGAATCGCCGGGTTATACCTTCTGCGTTTCACTCGGCCGGCCCCGCACATCAACCTGGCTGCTGCATGTCTGTGGCCCTCAGGAGTGCACCCTGACATGGACGTACTATGACTATGACCAGGCGGAGATGAAAACTGTACAGGTAAGCGCTGTGGAACGATCCAAGGCTGCATCCAAGGCTGGGTCATGCAGTGACATGTATTTATATTTCTCAAAGCCAAGAAAGGCCAGAGCTGTCCCAAATTAGTCCCAAATTGGAAAAGCTGGTGTTCGTATCATTTGGTGTGCAGCTAGTGCCAATGTGGACTAGTGGGACATCTTCTGAAGTGCCAGCCCCTTCTTCTTGCCTTTCCTGTTGACGAGATGTTGTGTGCTTCATTGTGCTCGTGTCAATGGTGTAAGCGGCCGTTTCGGAACGCATTGCAAAGGACGCGGCAGGGTGAGGGCTGCTCGAACAAAACGGACACATTGCCACCCAAGTCCTGTTTTACTGGTACATCACTATTGACGGCTGTTCTTCTTTAATTCACGTTACGACACAACAAATTTCGCCACAGGAGGCTCTTTGTAATGCATGTAAGTTCAGGCGATGTAGCTGCCGAGGTGTGTAAAGTCTACTTCATATACTGTAGTGAAGCAGATGCGCGCCATAGATGTTGAAAGCAAAAGAGCGTTGGAAAAGTTGGTACACCTGTTTCACTGAGCCGGCGCACACGCAATCACTCGCACACACAGGTGCAGATCTCCAATGCGAGTAAGAACCAGTCATGCAAATCGCAGCAGCCATAGCGTTCACACGTTCTGCGCTTGGAAACGCTCTGTACATCGCAGTGGGGCGTCCCCCATTGCACAGGCAACTGAGTGTCTTTGTTGCCAGTCCAAGCTCACAGGATCCTTCGGCCACAGGGTCAGACACAAACGCAATCGCAGCTATGCGGCTACTTGTAGGTGTTGGAGATGCAGCGCGGGGGGCAGATTCACTACTGACACTTTGCATATGCAGTTGGATGATGTCTCAGCTTCGTCTTTCAGCCCCAAATTTGCCCGATGACATCCCTTCATGCCCATGTCGAGGCTGCCGCTAACCAGAAGATGCTCATCAATCAGGGTCATTTGGTGGAGATCCCTTCCGCACAGCAGGAAGCCATTGACGAAGTTCATCTGGCATTGAGGGAGCAACGTGTCCAGGACACTGCTGTCACATGCTGTCGCCAAGTTGACACATGGCAGGGTCGTGGAATTGGGTATACCGTAGATTTCGATGAAGCCAACCGAATAGCATTCGCAGGCAATCCTGCCACTTGCGAGCTGCAATAGGCTGAGCGTAGTCGACAGAAAGCCATCGAGCAAGGGCAGTTCGCATGTAGGATGCCTACGCCAAGACGATGACTCTACTGGATCAGACGGAACCAGTGGCATGGTCTTTCTTCCTGCCACACGTGTTCCGTGCCGTCCTGGGGGAAGGCCATTTGAGCCCAAAATTTGGAAGGTCCAAAAAACTGTTCGAACCTGTCACCGCTGGTCACGTGGAAAGCCGTGGCATGTCGTCTTAAGCCTTGACTGAAGTCTTGTTCTGCGGCTGCAGGCGATGTGGCATCTATGCACGAGCTGCTGGGTAGTGCTCTGCGGCTTGTCCAAGACTCTGGAATGCCCGTGGAGCTGTGGGAATCCTTGCTGGATGAGGAGCGTGCATATGCACTCCATGTCTGTTGAGGGGGCCCCGGGGGGAGAACGCTGGCAAACTCGCTATGAGCAGGCCAGCTTTTCCGTGCGCCACTACTTCATGGCATCCCCAGCCTTGCGCCAGCTTGGAGGCGACCGTTCGGAAATCTGTTGAAGGGTCGCTGTTCACATCGCGGACGCCACTTGCGCAAGGCGCCACGCTCGCGGACTCCTTCCCCCGCGCGCTCGAGAAGGATCTCATGTACGGTTGGAAATCCGGTGGGCTTCTCCAACTGTGTTCACGCCTGACTGTGCTGGTGGTGACTGACTAGTGACTATTGCAGTTTGAAAGGACTACTTCCGACGGTTCAGGCACCTGCTGGCATTGGAACGCCATGGAGGGCCCCCGGTCAGCACAGCACAGCTTGATGGCATTGGTTTTTGAACATGTTTCATTAGTGCAGTGGCAATAGTTTCTTTCTAGCATCGCTGTGAGTTTTAACCTGTTTGCTGCTGCTACGGCTTTCTAAAGACCCATGCTTCCCAGACTGCTAAACATCTTCGGTACCTGAGGCTGATGCATGGTATTCAGCAATACGAGCTTGATCCAGACGGGCAAGCGGGCGTTCCGACCCTGGAAGTGCATCATTTCGAGGCATCAGTCGTAGACGATCTCGGCAACTGGGTCCACGGTGGCATGCTGATTAGACAGCTGCTTGTAAACTCCCGAGCCCCTCTTTCGTACAGTATAATATATCGCCTATCAATGTTCATCCTCACTTATCTTTTCACAATCAAAAGACAAGAATAAATCTTGCAAAGTCTTACCGATAAAACAAAGATTCACTACATCAATCTAATATTTCTTTTATTCGAAAATATTCTTATCATATTTTCAGACTCCTTCGATAGGACCTGAGCAGGCCAGTCAGGTCGTTTTGACGGCGCCAGCGGGTACCGAAATCTCGGCTATGATGGAGGCCGAGTCAAGAGGTAGAATGGGTGCTCGATTCACAACCCTTCTTGCTGCGACTCAGGGCCATCGCGCGTTGAAGGCGGCGGATTTGGTGCTGCTCGTTCCCAGCGAAGCTGCAGAAGAGCCATCAAGAAACGATGCTACCGACACAGATGCCGAGCAGCTTTGCCTTCGAAGAGTTTTGTCATGGGTTGGCTCGTGCTCGCTCACAGGGTAGTGTAAGCATCTGATTAACCCGCGATCAAGGTCGTCAAGGTTCAATAGGTCCCCCCCAAGCCTCCAGATCCTGATTTGATGGCGAGCCTCGTCTGGGGTTGGGGGACAGTGGTGGTACAGTAGCAGTGCAGTAGAGCAGCAGTACAAGTTGTTAGTACGCTACTACGGTTACAAAAACAAGAGGTATTGTAGTAGTAGTACAGTAGTAGTTCACTGGCAGTGCAGTAGTTCGTACTGTAGCAGTACGTAGCAGTCGTCCCATCGTACTGGTAGTGCAGTAGTCTTCAGCAGCAGCGGCAGCAGCAGCAGCAGTAGCAGCCGTGGTAGTGGTAGTGGTGGTGATAGTGGTAGTGGTAGTGGTAGTGGTAGTGGTGGTGGTGGTGGTGGTGGTAGTGGTGGTGGTGGTGGTAGTAGTAGTAGTAGTCATAGTCGTAGTTGTAGTCGTAGTCGTAGTCGTAGTCGTAGTAGTGGTGGTGGTAGTAGTAGTAGTAGTAGTCGTAGTAGCAGGAGGAGGAGGAGGAGGAACAGTCGTCTTTCTCGTCCTCAGCCTCCTCCATTCACACACAAGACAGCGACTAAGCAGGTTTTCTGGTAGGTCGCCGGGTGATGCATCGGTAGCGTAGCCGCTACGAAAGATGGGTCCTGCATGGCCTTTTGACACGGGACCCCAACTGTTTCGGGTAGCCCGTCATGCGCAGACATGTATCGCACTCGGTAATCAACTTGTCAGACTCCGGGTCTGGCCAAGAAAAGTTCACGAAATGCAGCTGGACGTGATGAGTAGCTGGAGCCTTCCTATGAAGACATGCCAAATACAGTGAGTAGCTCCCTCAGAGAGCAAACAGGAAGCTTGTGCAATCCATCTTAAGCACGGAGTTTCGCAGCCTCCAAAAACATCGATGTAAGGAATGTACTAAACTCAAAGTCCTGCGCCCACTGCCACCCGGCTACCCCTGGGCCCTAAAACACTTTCGGTTGCCAGGAGCCAGAAAAGTCCTAGCGGCCAGGTATGGACCCGGCCGGGTGCTTGGTCAGGGGTTCAGGACCTTGGGGCTTCAAACTCTGGCGTTGGAGGGTTTGATGCATGTCCCATACAGTTTCAGCTAAAGGGGTTCTTAAACGCTTTATGAAGGGATGTGGGATTCAGGTGTTTGAGCTGGGGGCCGTGGTGTTCTGGGCTTAAACTTAGCATGCAAAGTTTGTCGCGCTCTCCAGGACATGTCAGTAGACAAGATCTGTTGTTCGACGATTTTCACGTCTTAGTCTTAAGTCCTCCTCTGCTAGTCGGAGCTTGATGTGTGAGATAGGAGTCACTATAGCCGAGGCTTCAATTCCTGAAGTAAGTGGTATCTGCGGTTCTGCCAGGACGTTAGCAGAGCTCTTCACCCATGTGAGACCTTTGGTGGTGTTTATTCATGCTGCCTGTACATCTGCGGGGCCCTGCCCTGAACCCTGAAACACAATCCCTAAGTTTCCAACCCCTAAACTGAAAACCCTAAACCTGACGTCTAAACCCTAAACCCCTAAACCCCTAAACACTAAACCCCGAATGCTTACCCGACTTGCATTTCGGATACCCGCACGGCAGACAGCAGGATTCTATCCCGAGGTTACTGGGAAAGCCTAGCTGGAGAGACAAGAAAGAGGCAGTACATTCATTGTAGTGCGTTATAAATTATAACATAGCGTATATTTATTACCGGATGTAACAGTACGTTCTGGTATGCTTTCGTATACTAAAGTATAGTCTGGTATGTTATGGTATGGTAACCGTAAACCCTAAACCCTACAATATCTGGCGGAGGGAGGGAAGAAGCTCGAAGCCGACTACGGCTTGGCAATGCGAGAAAGCTCTGCTGTTGAGCCGAGATGTTCTTTGTTTATGTATGCAACGCGTACAACATAGGGGTCTAAGTAATTACAAAAAATGCATGTTTTTTTTTTTTTTTTTTTNNATGTCGAGTCATGCTACAAGATGTAGAGCCTCTATCTATGCACCAGAGTGAGTGCAGGACTCAGGGCACCTCCGAACTGAACTGCACTCCAAACTATAAGTCCTAGGAGCCGTAGCTTCGGAGTTGATGTTGGTGAAGTTGTAAACTAGTCGAGTTAATCTTTTCGAATTCAGAACTGGACAGCTGGTGCAGTCCTAAACCTCTGTCTGGAAGCCAGAATAGTATCCTTCCCCAGGCGACTAAACCATGCCGAAGCCGAGCTTCAGGATGAACCAGTGAGACTAGTCATCTCCACTAGAAAGATGCCAACGGATCTCCTGAATAAGAACCGCTCGCTGGTGTTCAACCCTCAGCCCAACAATCAGGTGGTAGGACGGTCGCATACACGGCAGCAACCTAAGATTCCTAAGATGCATGCACGGCAGGTCGCACACTCCCAGCTCTCTCCTCCAACGGGCGGCGGTGGCCACACGCACGATTGCCAGGGTCCCAGAGGAACGCCCGTGCTTCCAAGAATCAGATGAAGTCGTTCAAAGGCACGACATTGGATTGCTTTTGGGACTGTTCCGGGATTTACAGTCTTGCATGTATACTGCAGGGCAGACAAGAAGTTAATTCCACGCACTCTTCGGCACCTCGTGCTTTGACGGAAACCCTGCACCCTAAATCCCTAAGCCCCTAAACCCCTCAGCCCCTAAGCCCTAAACCCCCATGCAAACCCTAAACCCCTAAACCCCTTTATAAACTCCAACCGATCGAACCACCAGCCTCGAGCTGAGACGTCAAAGCCAAGACCCAGACATGTAACCAGCCTATTACAAATGCTATGAGTACTATTACTATGATTACAACACGAGATGAGGGGTGGTGGTTTGTA